TGGAGACACTAGACAGAGTGCAGAGAAGAACCACGAAGATGATTAGAGGACTGGAAGCTAAAACTTAATGAAGAACGGTTGCAGGAACTGAGTACGTCTGGTTTAATGAAAAGAAAGACTAGGGGAGACATGATAGCAATGTTCCAATATCTCAGGGGCTGCCACAAAGAAGGGGGGGTCAAGCTATTCTCCAAAGCACCTGAGGGCTGTACAAGAAGCAATGGGTGGAAACTAATCAAGGAGAGAAGCAACCTAGAACTAAGGAGAAATTTCCTAACAGTTAGAACAATTAACCAGTGGAACAACTTGTCTCCAGAAGTTATGGATGCTCCAACACTGGAAGTTTTTAAAAAGAGACTGGATAGCCACTTGTCTGAAATGGTGTTGGGTTTCCTGCCTGAACAGGGGGTTGGACTAGAAGACCTCCAAGATCCCTTCCAACTCTGTTATTCTATTCTGTTATGCTCTGTTAGCCTCTTTCGGCTCTTTAGAGTTAGCAGGATTAATTTCACAGACAGTTTGATTTGCTCCTTTCTTCTCTTCGGTCTTTGTTTTTCTTATTTTTGGCCAGTGGAAGGACACTAGTTTCATTTTGAACGGTAGGGAATAAAATGGAGAACCTTCCATGGTTTTTGTATACTATAGACAATTAAAACTTTTGCAAGAAAAGGAAGCAACATCTGTCTGAACTTCCTCCCGAACTCAACCAATTTATGGTTTATTTGAAGATTTATTTTAGGACCACAATTCTAAGAAGCTCAGTGAAGTTCCATCAAGTAGGACTCAAGAACTGGAGACTAGATTGAAAAATGTAATCTGCTCCATTTGACTTTACGAAGATCACCATTCCTTTTTCATCTATTGATTTTTCAAAACAAGTTTAACTGAGGTGTTGTGCAGAGTGCAGAAAGGAAGAGCGCCTGTCAAAATATTTAGCGTGCAGGCAGTCCTCAACTTATGACCATAGTTGAGCTCAACGTTTCAAATGCTAAGTGAGACATTCGTTAAGTGAATTGCCCCATTTAACCACTGCACCACCTCAGAGCCGAGGTGGCGCAGTGGTTAAATGCAGCACTGCAGGCTACTTCAGCTGACTGCAGTTCTGCAGTTCGGCTGTTCAAATCTCACC